ATTCTTTGGTGAAAGAACAGGAAGCCCACCTTTTGCTTGTGGTTTCTTTCTTTAACCCCTATACCTCAGGCCCAGCCCACCCTGCTTGACTCTAGGAACTGTGGAGAGAGGCAATGAAAGCTCACACTATACCTAAGATAATCCAGGGCAGGCTTTACAGGAACTTTCCTTAAAAAAGCAAGCAAATAGCTCTTTCTTTAAGGCCACAGGAGCTTCAGGGAGAACAGGGATGGGAAGGAGAGGAGTGAATGAAGTCATTTCACAATATTTATTTGCATATATTATAGAAGACATTTCAAACATATTAACCATGAGAAACAGAACGCTACTGTATTCTGAGTACATCCTGTATCCCTCAGAAACAAAATGTGCAAACATCTCAAATGCAGACATGGATACAGATTTTAGACTGTGGAAGTAGAAATACTACTATATATTGCTCAAACCCAAAAAAAAAACCACCACCCCAGTGCCGTCAAGTCGATTCCTACTAGGAATGTATATTTATGGCCATGGATGAGAGAAAAATAGCTATGTTTCGTGGTTTAGAAGATACTCATTGTCTCTCTCAAGCTTTGAGGCTGTCATTGATGGGTAAACTAAGAGGCCAGGAACACATTATTTATTAAATGTTAATGTCGCATATTGTGGTTGAAGCCTGGCTCCACAGTAGCATGCAAAATTAGTCCTCAGATCACCTGAGCTTGTGGGCTGGAGCCTGACATGACTGAGAGGAGCCTTAAAGTGCTGACTGACTGGAGGGGGTTTGTTTCAGAGCATATTAAGTACTTTTCCATATACAGTTGAGAATTTCTCTCGTGAACAGATGACATACATTTAGTAAGTACATCAGGTGGTTGCTGTGTGCTGTTGAGTCTATTCAAACTCCTAGCAACCCTATAGGACAGAGCAGAACTGCTCCATAGGGTTTCCTACGCTGTAATCTTTACAGGAGCAAATCGCCAGGTCTTCTCTCTTGCAGAGCAGCTGGTGGGTTCCAACCGCCAACCTTTTGGTTAGCAGCTAAGCACTTAACCATTGCAGCGCCAGGACTCCATACATCAGGTACACTTTCAATTACAGGTAGCTCCTGACTTACAATGGGGTTCCATTCCAATGACTCAGTCATAAGGTGGTTCTGATGTAAATCAAATTCCTTTTTTTTTTTTAGTTTTCTCTATTACTCTTTTTTATTATCAGTATCTTTATAAATCCCATCTTTTGTCTTTGGGACTTAGAAACATTATATATACAAACTTACAGATATGATGACATCAGCAAATTATACACTGCAACATTGTACGTAGTACATACTAATGATGATAAGATGTACAAAAAAAAAACATTGGTTGTTTAAGTGCAGTCCGACGTAACTGGAATATGTCGTAAGTCGGGGACTACCTATAATTACTAATTCACCTATTCATTCAAAAATGTTCATTAAGTACTTAGAGTGACAGCAGTATCTGATACTTGTTGAACATTTGCTATGGGCCAGGCACATATTAAGAAGATTTACATAGATCATCTTATTTAATCCTCCTGACAACCCTGTAACGTAGGCATTTTTGTTCTACCCATTTTATAGATAGGAAACTGAGGCATAGAGCAGTTAGGTAACTTGCCCGAGGTTACATAGCTAGGAAATAGTGGTTCTGAAATTGAAAGCCTGGCAGAGCCCATGCTTAACCGTTAATCCTTAACTGTTAAATCAGGTGGCCTCATACACTTGAGAAATTGCCTTGGACTAGAACAAATCTGACACTTACTCAAAACATGTATTTATCCTAGTAACCTCATTGGTCATTCAATATGTAGGAAATGCTGTGGAACCAAAGATTTAAATAACATTGTATAGTTTACCTTTCAGCAGCTTTACAGTTTGAGAACCTTTGAATGTTTGTCTCTGTTCTGCTGAACAGAGCAGACCTTTTCTCAATTGAGATTTAAGCCAAATGCTCTTGATAATTAATGAAGCTGCTGAGGCCAATTCTAGGAAGAAAAATAACACTTTAGCATTCTGAAATGTTGGTGCCTTTGCTGTGGTTCTTCTTATACAAAGCACTTTACTGACATCACAAAACCACTGAGGGCTCCTTCCAGTCACCAGAGGTGCAAAACCACACTGGTCCAGGGAGCTTTCCTCCGCTGAGAATAAAAGCCATGCAGATTTACCAGCTGGGGCGGGTCGTTTCTTCTGCTCTCTAGCTGCCTTGCAGGCCAGGACTCCTGCTGTGTGTGCAAGCAAATGCAGTCCTTGGTACTCTCATGGGAAATCCAGACTTTTGGCTGTATACCCAATCTGACAAGAAAGTTGTTTTTTTTTTTTTTTTTAAACCATTGCCAGGGAGATGAATTCTCTTCAACCTCATATCCGGAGTGAAATCTGGAAACGCCAGCTAGGAGCTTCTGAGGAAGCTGTTGCAGGGTATTTCAACAGCAGATCCTAAAGTATTAAAGGGCCACTGATGATAGGGAAAGTGAAGCGTGGGAGGCCTTTAAAATCTGTGTGTGCGCATGTGCAACCGAAGTAATGAATGTTTGCTGTAGAAAAAAAAGAAAATATAGATAAGAACATTAAAATGGCCACCAAACACATGAAACGATGCTCAGTATCATTAGCCATCTCAGAGATGCAAATCAAAACCACAATGAGATACCATTTCACTCCCACTAGAATGGCTAAGATATAAAAAAAAAAAACAATGTTGGCAAGGATGTGGGGAAATTGGAACCCTTACTCTCATTGCTGGTGGGAATGCAAAATGGTACAGCCATTGTGGAAAATAGTGTGGTGGTTCCTCAAAAAGCTAAAATAGAACTACCATATGACTCATCAATTCCACTCCTAGGTATATACCCAAAAGACTTGAAAGCAGAGACTAAAACAGAGACTTGTACACAATGTTCATTGCAGCACTATTCACAATAGCCAAAAGGTGTAAACAACCTAACTGCCCATCAGCAGATGAATGGGTAAACAAAATGTGGTACATACATATGATGGAATACTATTCATCCAGTAGTGGAAATGAAGTCTTGATACATGCTACAATATGGATGGAGCTGAAAGGCATTTGCTGGGTGAAATAAGTCAATCACAAAAGGACAAATATTGTATGATCTCACTTATATAAAAAGACAAAAAAAGGCAAATGTATAGAGAACAAAGTTTATTATGGTCACCGGGGCGGGAGGGAGCGGGGAAGGAGGGTTAACGGTGATGGAAATACTGCGTTGATTAAGGGTAGGATTGCACAACCCATTATTATAATTGCTGTCAGTAAGCTGTACACCTGTAAAAAGTTGAACTGGCAAAAGTTTTGTGATAGATGTATTTACAACAAATGAGAAAAAAAAAAAAAAAGAAAGTAGTTGCTGAGGTTGTTTATGTCATGGGATTTGGTTTCTTGGTTTTGAGGTTTAGGGTCATGGTTTCATAGGATATCCCAGTTAACTGGCCTAATAACATGTTTAGTGCTTCTTTTCTACCTCCTAGTTCAATGTGTAGTGCCTGGGGTATTAAAAGCTTGCAAGCAGCCATCCAAGGCACAACAATTGGTCTCTACTTGCCTGAAGCTACAGAGGAAGAAGGAGAGTCAGGAATAGGAGGAGGATATGGAATGTGTGGCTAATTGCCTCCATGAACAATTTCCTCCTTTGCCCTGAGACCAGAAGAACTGGATGATGCCGGGGTACCTTACTGAACATTTCAATCAAAGATTCTATAGAATAATCCTATCAAAAGGGGAAAAATGCAAAACAGAATTTTAAATTATCATGGAGTTCAGACTTCCTGGAGCCATGGCAGCTGGAGGAACCCCTGAAACTGCTACCTTGAGATAATTTTTAAATCTTGAACCAAAAATATCCGCTGAAGTCTTCTTAAAACCAAACAATAGCTTAACTACTAAAAAAATGTCTGCCTTCAGCATTATGCTCTTTTAAAACTACCTAAATGGGATCAAATTGACAACAGCAACTTGAGAAAGATTAGATAGTGTCATGGTTTGAATTATGTCCCCCTAAAAATGTGTGTATCATTTTGGCTAGGCCATGATTCCTGGTACTGTGTGATTTTCCTGTATGTAAACCTGCCTCTAAGATGTTAATGAGGGAGGATGGGTGGCAATTGTGTTAGTAAGGCAGGACCTGATCTACAAGACTGGATTGTGTCCTGAGCCAATCTCTTGAGATATAAAAGACAGAAGTGAGCAGTGAGACAGGGGACCTCATACCATCAAGAAAGCAGTGCCAGGAGCAGAGCGCGTCCTTTGGACCGGAGTCCCTGCGCCGAGAAGCTCCTAGTCTAGGGGAACACTGATGAGAAGGCCGAGAGAGAGAAAGCCTTCCCCTGGAGCTGACACCCTGAATTTGGACTTTCAGCCTACTTTACTGTAAGGAAATAAATTTGTCTTTGTTAAAGCCATCCACTTGTGGTATTTCTGTTGTAGCAGCACTAGATGACTAAGACAGATAGGAACCTTAGGGGGCAGTGAATTTATGTTAATGGGGGAGGAATAACTCAGAAAAGGATGAGAACGGTTACACAACTCAAAGAATGTAATCAATATCACTGAATTGTACATGTATAAACTTTTGGGGGAAAAAATATATAGATAAGAAAAAATAAAGCCCAACCATGGGATCCTGTTTGGCTTGGACACTGAATCCTTTTTTTTAATCTGGAGGGGGAGCAACTTGAAGAAACCATCCTGGCAAACGTTGCTCCAACCTTGAGTTTTCCACTAGAATGATTAGGGATGGTAACTTGTCAGTACCGCTCTCCTTTACAAAACTGCTAACAGAATTAGCATTTAAGAAAAGTAAAACTAAACTGGGCCCAGGCTTGCAGGAATAAAGTTATCAGATGTTCCTAAGATGGCAAGGCTTGTTTTCTTGGCCCATCACTAGCACACCTAACCACTTTGCTGCTGTTGATCATGGAGGGGGCCAAGGGATACCTACATCAAGCATTGTCTATTTGCTTTCTTTCCCAGACACCAAATGGATTGCTTTTGACCCCGAGTCCACTGCTATCCAGCATACATTTCTGGAGCAGTCTTAGTCCAGTTGCTCCGCTGAGTCCTGCCAGGCTGCAAGGGCCAAACACGCTGTTCCAGGTGAGCATTTGGACATGCACCCTTTTAAATAAAGAACTTCTAAGGATTATTTACCCTGATAAATCCTGCAAAGTAACAGTGAGCCCTGTCTTATATTTGGCTAAAATATTAAGTTTCCAAAGGAAGTTCACTTTAATGGGGTTTGCACACCCTTTAAGGGCAGAAATTTTCATTGAGGCAGAAATGCCTTACTCATGTCAGGTAAATGGAACCATTACCTAGTTCTTGAAGGGTTTTGGATACTTCCATTGACTATGAAAACTGTAAATTAAGGAAAAGGCAAAACTTTAAACATTATTTTTTATAAAAGACTTTAAAATATTAACATCACTTGAAATAAATTGAAAAAAAAAGTGAATGATTTCTTCATACTGTGACAAAAAAGTATCTGCATAAGTCCATGAGTCATATTCAAGTGCTCCTTGTTCCATAAACCGGGAGCATCTAGGATATTTCGTTAAAAATAATTCAGACTCAGCTGCTTTATCTTGCAGAGCTCCCTGTGCTAGGTGAGCACATTCATTATGCATTCACACACTAGGATCTTGCAGTAGCATCACCTGCTACCATATGGAAATCACTATTTCCTCTTTGGAACCCAAAGATTGTTACTCACTGACTAAGATGCTACTGTCGGAGTATTTGAGTGTCGGTGGAAAGGATCCTAGGGACAGGAATGAAGCAGGATAAATTGCAAACTCCTTAGCCCTTCACCATCCAGTCTCTAGCCTTGTCTCTTCCACCCTGCATACCACACCCCGCAGTGTGGCTCACCACAAGTCAGCTGAAGTTCTTTTGTTCCTGCTGTGTCTAGCACTCACCATTTGATATTGTTATTGTCTGTTCATCTGGCAATCTCTCCCCCACTGGACTGTGGATCCCAAGAGACCAGAACTGCATCTTAGTCAATGTAGTTTCCCCAGTGTCTAGCACATTTCTTGGCACATTAAGTGATGCTCAGTAGTTACTGTTGATGATTAAATGATGCCTAAGAATTCCCAGAGATGTCTAAGAAAGGTAAGTGTTAAAAAGATCAGCTCTCCATGCTTTTCTGAGCTGGTCACTTTGCTTGTCAAGGTTAGTATTTGCTGAGTACCAACTCTGTGCTAGGAGCTCAGCATGCTGGGATTTAGGGTCTCCTTGGAAGAAGGGTGGAGGTAAAGAGGTTTTGATTACTATCTTGCTTCTCTAGTTTCCTAGTGAGGTTGGGGTAGGGTGTCATGATGTGACTATATCCCTGAAGTGATTAGGTTTCTTTCTCTTACCTGGCCCATGTTTTCATCACAAGAAATTGAGCTGTGGTCATGAATAGCCAACAGGTTGATTCTTAACCGTTTTGTCTCAGGCAGGGAAACCAAAACTAGAAACAGACAGCAAAAAGCAGTGAGCAAATGTAGTATTGAGAAAGTTTTGGATTAGGAATACTTATCTTTTGGTGGAGAGCTAAAAGGCTGCATTTCCTGAAAGTCTCACCATTGAAGCAGTATTCTAGTATTGGTCCCTAAGTGGCGCAAATGGTTGAGCGCTGGACTAGTAACTGTAAAGGTTGGCAGTTCAAACCCACCTAGAGGTGCCTTGAAAGTAAGGTCTGGCGATCCACTTCTGAACTATCAGCCTTGCGGTCCTATGAAGCGGTTCTACCCTGCAAACACGGGGTCACCATGAATCAGAATTGATTCGATGGCAGCTAACAACAGCAGGTAGAGCAGGAAGGAGTTGTGTGTGGCAACAGTAAGCTCCATGGGGGTAAGGACTGCAATACCAACTCTAATCCTAGAATCTAACACAGGGCATGATGGATAGTAGGGGTTCAGTAGATATTTGAATAATGAATGGCCTCTCATTTCGCTCCTTTCTGGGAATTCTGCCATCTGATTGGTGGAGGGCTTGATGAGATTTGAGTGCTATCAGTTGGGAGTTTTTTGGGTCCCCTTCCCTTAAATATTAACCTTTTCCAGAGTATGAGTTGAGGATTCGTCCCAGAAGTAACAATGGTTCATGTCCACAGTGATTCCAAATATTATCAGAATCTTCTGGAGACCAACAGTTCTCAAAGTTACTGTGCAGTAGAATCACCTGGAGGGTATGTTAAAGTACAGATGGCTGGGCTCCCCTCCCCCCAAGTTTCAGAATGTTGTATTTAATTTGACAAATTCAGAAGGTCTGAGATGGGGCCTGATAGTAGCATTTCCTTTAGGTTTTTAGTGACTTTTATTCAGACTTGAGGAATAAGCAGGTACTGAAAAGTAGGATGAGGCAAAGATTAATAAGTGATTAAAAAAAACTGTCTAGGCACTACACACATAACAGTTACTAAAATAACTTGAAAATTGCAAAAATATATTTACTTGTTCTACAAATATTTATTGTACTTCTAACATGTGCCAACTTCTAGAGTTTGATATTTAATGTTTGAGTGAAGTTTAATATTTAACTTGTCTGGACTAAATATGAATTAAGCTGGAAGACAGCCCAGGAGATCATTATGATGCATATCATACTAGACAATGAAAATCTAATTGTGAGTAGTCATGTACTAAAAGAAGGCCTTGAATTATTCTTGTTCAGTTGGGAGTATCATTGATAGATTTGTTTTCAGATCTGAAACTTGCTATCAAAGCATATAATTTTATCCTACTGTTTATCATCTTAATCACAAATAATTTTATTGTTCTATTGATGACTGATCTAATAAGTTTGACATTATTTATCAGTTTAATTAGAAAGAACACTTTCTCAGCTTCAAAATAAAGGTATTCTTGATCTTTCATCTTAATCTTTCAAGATGAAAACATTCCTCACTTTTAACAGTTACTCAGAAACATCTTTGTAGTATTCTGGAAAACGGATGGCAAATTTCAAAATTAGAAATAACTGACTCGTGAAGAATCAATATCTATAGTTTTCAAAATTAATTTTTTTCTCAACATTTAAGGCAAGTCAGCATTCTAAGTAGCTTGGAACATCTTTTTCTATAGTATTAGAACACGCTTTAGTGACATATAAAATACATATTTTTTCTAGTAGCCTATCCATATAAAGCAATTAGGGACATTTTCTGGGCCTTATCCTGTTTGCTGCATGTAATCTTGGTCTTGCTGTCACCTTCTATCTAATTACACATTCTGTAAAATAGACTGGCAACTGGCCTCCATCAGAGGGGTGATGGGAGAACTTATCTACTCTGGTCTGTCTAGGAATGTGAAGAACCAAATTCTTCCCAATGGAATTGCAGTAATTATTTTAAACTCTTTCATCCTCTACAGTTCCCAACACTGCTGAATGGCCACATGCCAGTGCCAATCCCCAGTCTGGACAGAGCTGCTTCTCCAGTACTGCTTTCTTCCAGCTCTCAGAAATCCTGATGATGTCCAGCCGCAATTAAGGACTCATCAATGGAAGAAACAAATTTTTCCCCATGGACTAGTTTACCTGTGTCATGAGAAGGACATTGTGAAACCCTCTGTTAATATGGTTTGCACTTTTCATAACATGGATAGTCTAGATTTATGTTAGCATTTTTAAAACTGTTTTTTATATTCAAGTATATATGAAAATCTGTTTTGCATTAAATGAATTTTAATTTTTTTTTTTTTAATATCCTCTTAGCTCTTAAGTGTTGAACACTGTTGACAGTGAAGAACTTTCTTAATGGGTTTCAGTGTGACTAATAAGGATGTGAAGCTTGTTTTCCCTTTAATTCTGCATATGCTGAACTGTGCTTACAGACACTATAACCAGCTGTGCCTTCCTTCGCAGTTTTATGTAAATGATTTATATATTTTTTAGTATTAAGAGAATGTTTGAAAGACAAAAAATTAGTATCAAACAACTCTCTAGTAGAATTTCATTATTTTTCAAAAGTAGGCAATATGAAAGCATATTCATATTACTTTTTCTTTTGTGCTTTCAATTGTATAAGAATTGCCTTAGAACCTCTTTTGGACTGAAATCCAGTAAATGTAATGTCCAAGTGATGTTTTTATAAGAACAAACTAAGCCATATTTAGACAATAAACATTCATAAAAGTAAATGTTCTAAAGTGCATTTTTTTCAAAACTGAATTTTGAAAGGCTAGCCTCCCAGCTGTTTACAGCATCTTTTATACTCCTCCTAAACAAAAACTTGAGATGGAAAAGCTACATCAAGTTCACTCTATCCATGCTCCTAGACTTTACTTGGTTAACGTGTTCTTATTTTAAATAACCAGCCCACGTGCCCCCAGGTTTCCATAAAGAATCACATCCCTTTCATATATTTACTGTGTCAATAAAGGGGTTAGGTTTTCTCTAAACCCCTGGAACCATGATTAACATTTAAAGAGCTAATGCTTTAGAAGAGGCTCCAGACTGGTGATGAATACAAGCAAGCAAGAAACAGTTCTGTAACACTGACCACCAATTTCGTAACACTGACTACCTCCAGGTGTACAGGTATAGCCTTGCTTGTGGAAACTGAGAGGTAGGACACTTTGCTGTATGTATTTATTACTAAATTTATGGTGGAGATGAAGGAAACCTGATAAAAGAAAAAGAAAATTCTTTAGGAACCTCATCATTGTGGAAATGAACTGGCTGATTATGTAACAATTTGTAACACTGTGCAGTAAATTCTTCTGTGTAGTGTAGTTTACAGCATTGATAATAGAAACATATTTTCTCTTCCTTCAAAAAATCAGCAGGTACCACTCTATAGAAGAACCGTTCTGTACTCAAAGTAGGAAAGTTCTAACACAAGATAAGAGAACTGGAAAGTGCCCAGTGCTTTAAATTCAAGATTAAACCAACCAGTTGCCATTGAGTTGACTCTGACTCATGGAAACCCCATGTGTGTCAGAGTAGAACAATGCTCCATTGAATTTTCAAAGTCTGATTTTTCAGAAGTAGATCGGTGGGCTTTTCTTCCGAGGCACTTCTGGGTAGAATCAAAGTTCCAACCTTTCAGTTAGCAGCTGAGTGTGTTAACCATCTGTACCAATTAGGGATTCTTAAATTCAAGATTAGGTTAAGTATAATCCTTAACTACAGGTAGTAGAAACCAATGTGAAATGTGGCTAAACAATTAATTGAATTTTCACACTAAAATTTTGTTATAATACTTGCAAAGTTTGATATTTTCAATTGGAAGTGGGCATCTGTGGGGGGGGGGCTATGTGACCTTCACTGAGGGTAAAAATCCAAACACTCTAATATGCGTCTTTGACTATAAAGTAATGGGGCTGGTTCCAACATTCACAGACACTACTATCACCCTCCTCATAGGCTCAGGGTAATTCTGTACTAAAATGAAAGGAGCTGGTCCAAAACCAAACCAAACCCATTGCCATCGAGTTGATTGACTCATAGGAGCTGGTCCAGGGAACTGATATTCAGCAAACATAAAATATTAGAGCTGGAAGGGGCCTTCGAGAATACTTCCCACCACCTGTTTACAGATGAGGACAGGTACACAGGAGAAGCGGCCACACAGTTAATTGAAAATAGAACAAGGATTGGTGCTCAGTCTAGTTCTGTTTCTGATGCCTAGCTATAATTAAGATTGGCCCAGAACAGTACATTAGGTAGAAAAACCAGAGCAAGATACAGGATTAAAAAAAAATCTTTTTATCAGATAAAAGAACATATCTTAAAATGTAAGATTCTTTTACAGAAGCCAGAAAGTTAATGCCTAAAAATCTCATCCAAAAATATTTTCAGTATAATTTTTAAATGTAAATGCTGACTGGAAATATTCAAAAGACTATAAATCTGATTCTTGTTTTTTCTTTCTCCAAATACTGATTAAGTGTATACTCTAGATATATTAGAAATGGAAAAAATACCATTTTTGATGGATAAAAAAATTCACTATAACCTACACAGAGAACTGGAGCTATTGAATTATAACCCGGACAGCTTTACCCTATTCTTTTTTTTTTTAAATAGAAGTCTTTTAGTCAGAAAATAGGTTCCAAAGAATATATTAAATAACTTTGTTTTTCTTTTTACATGTCTACTTGATCAGTGTTAAACTGCTATGGCTAAAGTATTATAAAACTATAATCTGAACGTTGGTCTCTTTGTACACATCTTTTCTATGACTGCAAATCTTCATTCACTTTCATATATGTATCATTTTTATTGTTGTATTATTTTTGTTCAATAAATACTTTGTGATAAAAGGCTTAAGGAAACTAGTGGCCTGGTTTATTTCCATTTACTCGGGATGACCAAAATTCACTTTTCCATATGGGGTACAAGTTGGAAAATGAGTCTTGTCATCTAGCCTTAAATATGGCACATCAAAATATTTTTTTAATCTTAAGTTTTATCAGTCACTCTATATTGAGATGGGGGCAGTGAAAAGGAAGGGAAAAACCAAATTACCATTTACTCTTTTAGCCACTTTGTTGATAACAGGAAAATAGGATCGGCTAGACTTGGTGACAAAGGTTATTGTTCCTCCTGGTCTCACCAACTCCAGGCTGACCTGGCTGTGGTTTTCATGGATGAGCTCAATGCTATCTCCATCTTGAGTCTGATATAGGGAGATGTGTGTGTGTGTGTATGAGGGAGGAGAGGAGCAGGGAGAAATAGTGTATTAATGGAGGTCCTGAAACAAAATACTAAGTGTCAGAATTCCTGTGTCAAAAGATCACGGGACAACTCAGAGCAGCATATGGTACACTTGCAGGTAGCAGTAGGTACTTAGAGAAGAAACATTTGAGAACCAACTAATTTCCAGGTTATAATTTTGAACATGGGGAATGGAAACCTGGTCCCTGTTCTCAAAATCTAAGATGACCTTTTTGTACAAAAGAGTTCAACTAAACTAGTTTCATACAATGTCCTTTTATGCTTCAGTATTCACAGGCATCTCTCCCCCAGGCCTACACTCCCTTTGGTTATCTGGTATGGTATAGCCCTGCCTTCAATACTGGCACTGAAGAATACACAACATCTGACTACCCATTCCCAGATGAGTCAGGCCTCTGAAATCCATTTTTATTCACTATTTCATCACTAAACCCAAAACTCATTGCCATCAAGTCGATGCTGACTCACAGCAACCCTACAGAAGAGAGCAGAATTGCCACACAGGGTTCCCAAGTCTATAAATCTTTATGGAAACAGACTGCCACATCAAACTCCCGGCTGGTGGGTTTGAACTGCAGACTTTTTGGTTAGCAGCCGAGCGCTTAACCAGTGTGCCACCAGGACTCCTCAAACACTAGGTGACATAATTTTAGTTAATAATAGCAACCATTTAAAAAACTGCTTATTATATGTGAGACATTGTTCTATGTATATTACATGCATTATTTTATTCAGCCCTCCCAACAACTGTCTTTCAGTTTGTTGTACTGTGGTGCCTTGTGTGTTGCTGTGATGCTGGAAGCTATGCCACTGGTATTTCAAACATCAGCAGGGTCACCCATGGTGGATAGGTATCACCTGAACTAGACTGACTAGGAAGAAGGACCTGGTGGTCTACTTCTGAAAAATTAGCCAGTGAAAACCTTATGAATAGTAGCAGAATGTTGTCTGATAAGAGTGCCGGAAGATGAGCCCCTCAGGTTGGGCAACAGCTGCCTCCTCAAAGTAGAGTCCACCTTAATGACATGGATGGAGCCAAGCTTTCGGGACCTTCATCTGCTGATGTGGCATGACTGAAAATGAGAAGAAACAGCTGCAAACATCCATTAATAACAGGAACGTGGAATGTACGAAGTATGAACTTAGCAAAATTGGAAGTCATCAAAAATAAAATGGAACACGTGAAGATCGATACCTAGGCATTAGGGAGCTGAAGTGGACTGGTATTGGTATTGGCCATTTTGAATCAGACAATTATATGATCTACTATGCTGGGAATGACAAATTGAAGAGGAATGGCATTGCATTCATCACCAAAAAGAACATTTCAAGATCTATTCTGAAGTATAGCGCTGTCAGTGATAGGATAATATCCATACGCCTACAATGATGACCAGTTAATACAACTATTATTCAAATTTACATACCAACAACTAAGGCCAAAGATGAAGAAACTGAAGATTTTTACCAACTTTTGCAGTCTGAAATTGATCAAACATGCAGTCAAGATGCATTGATAATTACTGGTAATTGGAATGAGAAAGTTGGAAACAAGAAGGAATGGTAGCTGGAAAATATGGCCTTGGTGATAGAAACCATGCTGGAGATCGCATGATAAAATTTTACAAGATCAGTGAATACTTCATGGTAAATACCTTTTCTTCAACAACATAAACAGTGACTATACATGTGGACCTTGCTGAATGGAATACAGAGGAATCAATTCAACTATATCCGTGGAAAGAGACAATGGAAAAGCTCAATATCATCAGTCAGAACAAGGCCAGGGGCTGACTGTGGAACAGACCATAAACTGCTCATATGCAAGCTAAAGTTGAAGCTGAAGACAATTAGAACAAGTCCACGAGAGCCAAAGTACAACCTTGGGTATATCCCACCTGAATTTAGAGACCATCTCAAGGATAGATGTGACACATTGAACACTAATAATCAAACACTAGATGAGTTGTAGAATGGCATTCAAGGACATCATACATGAAGAAAACAAGAGGTCATTAAAAAGACAGGAAAGAAAGAAAAGACCAAAATGGATGCCAGAAGAGACTCTGAAACTTGCTCTTGAATATAGAATTGCTAAACTGAAAAGAAAAAAACAATGAAGTAAAAGAGCTTAATGGAAGATTTCAAAGGGCAGCTTGAGAAGACAAAGTATTATAATGAAATGTGCAAAGACGTAGAGTTAGAAAACCAAAAGGGAAGAACACACTCGGCATTTCTCAAGCTGAAAGAACTGAAGAAAAAATTCAAGCCTCAAGTTGCAGTATCTAAGGATTCTACAGGGAAGATATTAAACGTCACAGGAACGGAGTACCAAAAAGAATTGGTCAACGTTCAACCACTTCAGGAGGTAGCATATGATCAAGACGGTACTGAAGGAAGAGGTCCAAGTTGCACTGAAAGCACTGGCAAAAAACAAGGCTCCAGGAATTGATGGAATACCAATTGAGATGTTTCAACAAATGGATGCAGTGCTGGAAGTACTCACTTGTCTATGCCAAGAAATTTGGAAGACAGCTACCTGGCCAACCAGCTTGAAGAAATCTGTATTGTGCCAATTCCAAAGAAAAATGATTCAAAAGAATGTGGAAATTATCAAACAATATCATTAATATCACACACAAGTAAAATTTTGCTGAAGATCCTTTAAGAATGACCGCAGCAATACATCGACGGGGAACTACCAGAAATTCAAGCTGGATTCAGAAGAGGACATGGAACTAGGGATATCATTGCTGATGTCAGATGGATCTTAGCTGAAAGCAGAGAATATCAGAAAGATGTTTACCTGTGTTTTACTGACTTTGCAAAGGCACTCACAGCATGAATCATAACAATTTATGGTAACATTGCGAAGAATGGGAAATTCAGAATACTTAATTGTGCTCATGACGAACCTGTACAAAGACGAAGAGGCAGTTGTTGGAACAGAACAAAGGGATACTGCATGGTTTAAAGCCAGGAAAGGTGTGCGTCAGGGTTGTATCCTTTCACCATACCTGTTCAATCTGTATGCTGAGCAAATAATTCAAGAAACTGGATTATATGAAGAATGCAACAACAGGATTAGAGGAAGATTTATTAACAACCTGTGTTATGCAGATGACACAACCTTGCTTGCTGAAAATGAAGAGGACTTGAAGCACTTACTGACGAAGATCAAAGACCACAGCCTTCAATATGGATTACACCTCAACATAAAGAAAACAAAAATCCTCACAACTGGACCAATAAGCAACATCATGATGAACGGAGAAAAGACTGAAATTGTCAAGCATTTCATTTTACTTGGATCCACAATCAACGTCCAAGGAAGCAGCAGTCAAAAAATCAAATGACGCATTGCAGTGGGCAAATCTGCTGCAAAAGACCTCTTTAAAGTGTTAAAAAGCAAAAATGTCACTTTAAGGACTAAGGCGTGCCTGACCCAAGCCATGGTGTTTTCAATTGCCTCATATGCATGTGAAAGCTGGACAATGAATAAGGAAGATGGAAGAATTGATGTCTTTGAATTATGATGTTAGCAAAGAATACTGAATATACCATGGACTGCCAGAAGAACGAATAAATCTGTCTTGGAAGAAGTACACAGCCAGAATGCTCCTTACAAGCAAGGATGGCGAGACTTCATCTCATGTACTTTGGACATGTTATCAGGAGGGACCAGTCCCTGGCGAAGGACATCATGCTTGGTAAAGGAGATGGTCAGCGAAAAAGAGGAAGACCCTCAACGAGATGGACTGACGCAGTGGCTGCAACAATGGGCTCAAGCATAACAATGATTATATGAGGATGGTGCAGGACTGGGCAGTTTTCATTCTGTTGTACAAAGGGTCACTATGAGTCGGAGCCAACTCCACAGCACCTAACCACAACCAAACAACCCTATGAAGACATAATATTATATCTCATTTTACAGATGAGGAAATTGAGGCTCAGAGTGGTCAAGTAACTTCACGAGATTATAGAGCTAGCCAGATTTCAAACCCAGCACCTTTGATTCTAGTGGCCATGATCTTAACCTATAACACCTCAAAAGAATTTAAACTAGCCGTGTACATCTTCGCATAGTACATATTAAACATGTTTGCTACTATTGTTTTCTGGGGAGCAGATTCTCAATCATTGTAGAGCTGGCCCTACTTAGACTCTCCAGTATTGGCTATTCTCAGTCCTACTCCCTCCATGGGTGTGTGTGTGTGTGTGTGTGTGTGTGTGTGTGTGTGTGTGTGTGTGTGTGTGTGTGTGTGTGTGTGTAGAACTGTTTGATTATAGGTTGGTTCATAAGTTTCTAAAGAGTCACATATTTTAGCCTACTAGGAAGAAAAGTTTCCTTTTTATCACCAATTTTTGACCGCTGTATTTGTCTTTGGTTCATTCAGAGAGAAGAGACGAGTCAAATTTACTATTATATAACTAATAAAAATTACTTATCATTCAGGATTGCTTTGTGCATGTGTCTTTTAATTCAGTCAACAAACGCAAAGGCAGTTAAAGGACAGGGCAACTAACCCAGTCTAGTGGTAGAGTTGGGGTGTGGAAAGTGGGTCAAAGAAGGCTTTCTGGAAGAAATAATTGAGACCTGAAGAATGAGGAAGAGTAGCAAAGAAAAGAGAGATTGAAGAAAAGAGTGCTCCAAGCAGAAGAATGAGGATGCTTCAGTTCAGGTATGATAGAAAGCACATGAGGAACTCAAAGATCAGTATGGTTGCATTTACTCACACTGAGCACAAAATCTATAGTTCACCATATGAGATAGTAATGTAGAAATTAGTAGCCCTGTACCTGTCGCTCTCGATTCCTACTCATAACGACCCTACCGGAGAGGAGAACTGCCCCCATAGAGTTTCCAAAGCTGTAAATCTTTAAGGAAGCTGACTGCCTCACATTTCTTCCACAGAGTGGCTGGTGGGTTCAAACTGCCAACCTTTGTTAGCAGCCAAGTGCTTAACTGTTTGAATCACCAGGGCTCCACAGAAACTAGTAGCAAGAGAGCCTAATTCTAAATTCAAAAAGGGAAGGGGACTTCTAGATCACCGAGAAGTCATGAAGGGGTAGACAGACTAAGACTTTGTGAAGAACACAGTGGCAGAATTGGGCTCCAAAAGTAATCTTTTGCTGATTTTCATTGTTTCTAGAAAAAACAGTACATGCACACCATCCAAAAATGAGTTAGCACAGACCACAACAGTACCACATCACTCTTTCATCACTTGACCACCTCAGCCTCACACATCCAAAGGTTAGGAAGATGAAGAAAAAGATGATGCCTATGACCTATTCTGGCTGTAAGCATGTGGAGCCATTGTCAATACAGCTGGAGAAATGGTTGAAGCTTTTGCTGCAGTGTTTTCACTAAAACTGTTCAAGAAGAACTCTATTAATAGAGTCCTGAGAAAGTCTATTGCCCAAGTCTCAAGTCTGTACTCACTACAATTCCATGCCTGATCCAGAGCCCACTGGAACCATCCTCTTTTAAGCACACAAGACTGTTGGTAGGTGCTGAGCCTTCCTTACCTGAAAACTGCTCTGTATCATCCAGGTGGTCATCAGCTACTTCTTCATGCTCATCTTCACGACCTATCTCAGGTACTCTGCATCACCACAGCATTACGGGCTCAGGCCGAAGAAAGTGACGGAAGCAGCCATCATGATTCCTACTACCAGTCTGTTTATGTCTTGCTCTGTGTCCCCTTCTCACACATGCACTCCTAGCCCTCACACCACTCTGCTCAACAGACTTTAGTTTACAGGCTCTGATCTGAAGTGGTAACTTCCAGGAAGTGTTGATTTTTCCCAGTAAGCTCAATTTTCCCACTTCTCATGAGGAGAAGCCATCAATGAGAAGTGTTTCCCATCATCATAGATCAAAATTTTATGTTCTTTTCTAAAATTGGTGACTTCAGTGGTCTTTTCTGGGTCAGTGGTAGACAGTGATTGCTAACTTCAGCTAGGACTGATGGTAGTTGAGGGAAATTCCTGCCTATCCAAAGCCAGAATCTAAACTTAATATTATAAAATAAGTTCTAGTTTTGGACTGAACGAGAGGGGAAAACATTATGCCTTTCCTTGGGTCTCAACTAATGTGTTGAAATCTTTGGAGATTTCAAGTTTGGAGCATATGGAAGTGTGCAAATTCTTCAGTTCAGTAGGCTGCTCCTGCTCATAAGCTTGTGGTCCCATTTAACATTGATATAGATTAACTTGTCAGTCAGAAAGAATCATTGTAAGAAGCTAGATTAGAATATTAAAAAAAAAAAAAAATCACTGACATTAAAAATAATAAATTCGGATGGATTATATTTGGGGGTAAATCTTTTAAAACCACATGAATTGCCTTGAGTCCATAAGATATATAACATGCTGTAAAAATTGCGGTGTAGGGCATTTGACCTCGTCTAACCTCACAAGGGGAAGGAGAGAGAATCATTACCAGCATCAACAGCCCAAAGCTGATTCCTATGAGGTGGAGGTCAGACTTATCTCCTTTTTCCAACCTTTTTACTAATTTTGACACCAGCCATCCCACCCACTGCACTCTTTACTTCTCTGCTGGGTTCTATAATTTGTTGCAGTGGCCACACAGAACTCACAGACAATACTCACGATTATGGGGTTTATTAGGGAAGTAACAGGTTACAATTCAGATCAGGAACAACTCAGGATACAGTTCTTTGAGCAGGACATCTTGTCAGCCATGTCTGCAGGCAGGCTTCTCTCTCCCTCGGCCTCTCAGCCTGACCTCTGCCCTGCTAGGGCAAGTGTTACAAACCTCCTTAGCTCATCCAACAATAAGTGCCTGGGGGCACTCTACTTCGCCAGCAAGCCTCCTGCTTGAAGGCCATCAGCTTTCTCACTCCATGAGTTGGCACACCCACTGTAGCCACCTTACTTCGTGGGTCAGGAAACCCACTGTGCTGACTCCTGCAGGTGTCCCAGTTCTGCTGCTGCCATTTCACTGCCACTCTTTCTCTGCTGTCGTTTCTCACCATCTTGTGCCATCTCCTGGATTACAGCTCTCTCTGTAGCTTCTAGGTCTAGGAGGTTCTCAGCCCAGGAATCCTGGGTCCAAAGTACGTGCACCACTCCTGGCTTTTCTTCTTAGTGGTAGTGAGGTGCCCCCTTTTCCACCTCTGGAAAGGCTCATTTTAAGCCTAGCAGGATGGCAAAACTGACCAATCCCCTCATTAGGGTTCCATATACTTTATTTGCATGGTCCTGCCCCCAGAAGGGTGTCATGAATATTATTTGCATTATTGGCAAGCTGTCCAATCCCCCTGGTGGGCCATAAGCACCTTATCTGCATAGTCCCACCGAATCATTTGGTGGGAGATAAAAGACCATGACTAAAAAGGCTATATAAAAGCAATCCATCGTGTCACACATATTAACATATAGTCTTTCAAACCTAAGCTGCTAAAGAACCAAATAGAATGCAGCCACTTCTAAACGCCCAGAATGACATATTCAATGTGTGTAAATACCACCATTTGGAAAGAAAACCAAAAAAGGCATCCTCTCTTACTTTTAGGAAACTTGTCAGTTTAAGATGAATCGAACTGTTCAAGGTTCAAAGTTTCTGAGTTTTAATTCTCATCACTATAAGCTTTTCAGGATCTAAATGGTGCTCTAGTGTCAAAAAACACTTGTTTGCTTACCGAACTCTTTAATAAAATGAAGAAGCATCCCTAGGACTTCCTAGGAAGCAGAATTTTATATAACTACTGGATATATGTAAGAATCAAACTTATGGATAACTGTATGTCAAATTTGCAACAAATCAAGTACACACACACACACACACACACACACACACACCTCCTATGAAATGATAAATCTAACACTTTTTAATTGAGAGTGCTATCCTAAACAACCGGAGCAGAGGAACAAAACAAATGGCTATCACAAATAATTAGATATCACTATTGGCACAATGAGACTTCATTATCTTAAGAATAAGACCCATAAAAATAAATGATCCCACTCTGCACAGCCTTCTTCCCCAAGAAAGAACTGTGACTCAACAAAACCACATTTTTAACAACATGGAGATATTGTTATTATAAATTTCAAAACAAAATGGAGGAATTTCAACATAATATTTATAACCTGCAAAGTACAATATTAATACACGTCTGTCAGTTAGAAATAACAGCAGTTAGGCTACAGGTTTAACATAAAACCAATTTACATATGTGAAAAGCAGTAGTGGTCCAATATTCACCATTACACATGAAATCTGTTTCTTCCAGAAAATTCTTTTTTAAAAAATTAAAATTTCAGTATCATGAAATTTTAAAATAACACCCAAACATGCCACAATCACTATTCACAAATAAAGTTAAAAGGAAATATACAAAGATTCACTTAATACTGTTAAATAACAACAATAAACTACAAGATCTCCTGAACAGAAATGGCAGGACCCCTGAATGCTTTACAGTGAATATAAGGGAAAAAAAAATTAAGTTATGACTATTTTTCATGATATATAAGTCAAAAATTTACATGACCATTTCAAAATATACCAATTAAGATTTATAGTTTATTAAGATGCACTAAACAAATAGTCCTTAGTAAGTGAACACAAATGCTTAAAACACTGTTAGTAACACCAAAGTGTGTTTATGATGTTCAAAGAGATGCATAATCAAAACTGTAATATTTACTATCTCTGGTAAACAGATAATACCTATAATCCTTTAAACAATCTTCTAGGTTCTCATTTCTCTCATTGTAGTTTATCATGGCTCATTTCAAAGACATATTACAGCTTTCAGCTGATTCCAAGTGAATGTTATTAAAACACACACACACACCACACACACACACAGCCCCTAAATGAAATAAATTGTTCCCCAATGAAGTATCATCCTGTCTACAAAAAAAAAAAAAAAAAAAGTAATGTATTTAAAAAAACAAGAGCAAGACCTTTCATGTTTGACTGGACTTGTATAGTTTAGTTTCAACTGAATTAAAGCACAATGTAAAATTAGTTAAGTGTATTAGTATACAAATATCCAGTAATATGCAGTAGATATTTCTAAAATGAGGAATAGATAAAAATAAATAATTCTGGTGCTGTGATTACTGGTGTCTAACGAGAAATCCCCAAAATGTCTGGTATTCACTTGCTTGAATTACCTTCTGCATCACATGCTTTCCTAAACATAATGTGCTTATCAATCTCTTAACTACTCTATCTGCCAATTTTCAATAAGAAATTATATAGCATGAACTCAGAGTGTTCAAGATGGCTCACTTATTTTACTGTTAAGCAAAGCTAAATTTACATTCCAGGAAACACTGCAGTTTAATTTTAAAAACAAACAAACGAACAAAAAATGCAGCAGTCAAACAATTTGTGAGGAGAAACAGATGCATTCACATATAATAAAGCCACTGCAACTTCTTCAGGCATTCAACTGGTGTGTTAAATAAACAGACAGTAGTTATTTAGCAGCAATGATTCTGCAATAAATAATGCACTGTGTTTCTCAGTCCTGCACAAAAACTGCAGCTACAGTTACATCAATAGCTGTAACCTACTGGCTCTAACGGCAGAGGAGACTTTAAAACCAACTGTACAAAAAAATTGTCACACTGTGACAACAAATATAAAAACAATCTGTAGGTCTGAAATAAAAAGACTCCACTGTGAAGAGGACAGTGTCGACAAATGGAGATTCCAAGTCCACCAAAAGAAATAACTGCCTTCAGATCTGAGTCCTTGATTGATAAGAAAGGCTGGGGGGCTGGGCTTGAAATCATGTTATCAGACTTAAAAGAGCATGCTCTGTCTTCTGTTCTTCCCATGTCCTAAAATATAAAGTCATTTCATGAGGCAGTTCAAGGTTCAGCTTTATCCCACATATAGTAATTGGTGACTCTAGGAAGCTAATGTTCCCACCAGCAAAAGCTAATATTCCACGGTAAGCACTGCCTTAAATGACCCTTTTGTTGATGGGTCAGTCTACAGCTTCTATGCTTCAAAGTGATGAACCTGATGACTAGGGAAGCACAAGATGTGTCTTCTGCCTCAGGTACCAGGAATGGCGTGTTCAATGATCAAGCCAGGTCACTTGTAAAAGGTCTTTGTGCCATCTGCAGCTTTCAGGATCCCTGACTTGACCGAGTCAGATTTCTCTCTGAAGATTTACTGAGCTGCCCACATCATACAGGAAAGTGAGTACGTGCAATGCTAAACATACACAGCTGTGGAATGCACTGTACATTGGTTTTTACATCAATAATTTTACTGATCAATTTACAAACCAAAAGCCTGGTTCCATGCAAAAATTCATGATCGACACGTGAAATGGTTTATGACAAACACACCTGTCTCTGGATAAGAAGAATTTCGAAAACCCGGGTCCTTTTGCAACTGAATTTCTTTCAAACTGAATATTGAAACACCTAAAATGTATAGACGAAAATTCTCAGGTGAAGGTCTAACATTATTAAAACAAATATAATCAAACTATAAACAAACTTTTTCAAAAGTGTATATACTGATTCAATATGAAACATTTATACTACATGTACAAGCTTACAGCCCTATTTAATTTTTTCCTTTTTGTCTCAATGTTTTAACAAGAAAACCAAAGAAAATAATCCACCTTTAGAATCTGTCTTTCCCCTACTCTACTTTAAAACACGCTGCAAGTGTGTTTGTTCTAGGACTGACTGGGATTGGGAAATCTAATCAAAATACATTACTCGGTTCTTATACATGCTGTTCTCTATCTCTGTCTCCTTATGACGGGATGAAGGTACCAGGCCCTCAAACTGTCTTCATATTTTTAGAGAGAAACAAAGAATACATTAATATAACAATAACTGCCTAGCTCAAACTATGAAACCTGAAATAAACAATGAAATGCAAATATCATCTTAAAAACACGTATAATTCATCTCTCTGACTTCCAATCTCTCTCTGAGAGGTAGTGTTTCATTAAAAAATATTCAGTAAATTCTAAGTGGAAGTCTTAAGGATTCTTGATTTTCAATTAGCTTTGTCACTGACTGCTACATAAATCCTGATGAATCAGTATTGTCCAGTAAATGAGAATGGGAAATTAATGAAAGCTTTGGGTAGTTCAGCTCCCAAATAGCATCCTAATTTCCCAGCGTACCTCAGTCTATTTTAAAATAAAATACTGGGGTAATAATCATTAAAAAAGAAATGTCATGAATAAAATCAATCACCTGAGGCATGGAAAATCTGCTATGTTACTGACTGACAATATGCTTGCTGCTGTCATGGGAATAGTAAAGTCAGAGCGACCATGATAAAGGAAAATCTTTATATCTTAGGGTATTTATATTCACACACACACACACACACACACACACAAAAGCAATCTTGTGTTTTGGTTGTGCTTCATTACACTCTGCCAGAAACCCACTTTTATTAACAACTCTCAATCAAAGCTAGAATGGGCATAATGACAATGTCTATTATCAGATGTTCCAATAAGATTAATGACTATTCCTAAGTACTACTGATTTCTTACAGAGTAGTAGCAATGTGCTCAGTGTTAAACATATACCTCCACTGAAAAAATTCTCATCTAATTACAGAAAAGACTAGAACTTTAGGATTAAAAACTAACAATTATCTCTCCCTAAATCTTTAATCCACCCCACTCCCCAGCCCTGCATAAATGAAAATAAAG